TTAGCTCTTGGATTATATATTCTTTTATTTTTCCCTTTTCCCTTTTGCTTTTTTGCCTTCTTTCTGCTTGCCTGCAGGCTCATGCTTTCTTCCCACCCCCCGCCCACTAAGATGTGTCTTAGTTTCCCAGGGCTGCTGAAAAAACAAGCACCACAAACTGGGTGGCTTAAAACAGACATTTATTTTTTCACAGTTCTGGGGGCTAGAAATCCAAAATCAAAACGCAGGCAGGGCCAGGCTCCTTCTGGAGCTCCCTCCTCATCGCTCCCAGCTTCTGGCGGCTGCTGACGATCTTTGGGGTTTCTTGTCTTGTAGATGCATCACCCCCATCCTTGCCTCCATCCCCACATGGCCGGCATGTCTGTGTCTGTGTCCCAATTTCCCTCTTTTTATAGGGACACTAGTCATTGGGCTAGGGCCCACCCTCCTCCAGTGTGACCTCATTGTAACTTGACTGCATCTGCAAAGATCTGATTTCCACATAAGTTCGCGTTCACAGGTACTGGGCATTAGAATTTGAACATATAGTTCTGGGGGGCACAATGCTACACACTACTTGGGGTTACTTTATTTTCGGTCTTTCATTAAAACATTTAAGCATATGCACTTACCTCGGAGTAGATCCCAAAGATTTTGATAAGGAGGTTTTCATTCTCATGCTTCCTAAACAGTGTGTTGTATTTTGATTTCCTCTTTTTGACCCCGAATTATTTCAGAAGCTGATTTGAAAGTCCTAAGCACCTTGAGGTCCTCTCATTATTGCTGCTTTGCTTGCTGTTTTTTTTCCCTTTATTCTTCTAGTGCAAAAGTTTAAAGTTCAACAATACAGACTTAATTAGAATGCAGAAGTCACCCCCTAACCACCAATTTCTAAATCCCACCCTCACAGATAGTTGTTAACAACTTGGGGTATGAGTTTCCAGAACTTTCTTTTGTGTACACAGAGCTACTACTGGGTTTAATGATCTGCCGCAACTGCTCATGCAGTGGGAGAAAGACAGGTGCCAAGGGAGGAATGCTATAAAGTCAGAAAAATGGAAGGCAGCTACACCAACATTTAATTTTCCTAAAATCAAATTTGCTTCTGAGGTGAACACAAACACACACAGCAGCAATGTTCACACATGGTAAAAATAAGCACCTTTCTCCGCAGAGCTCTTTGGAATCCCTTTTGCCTAAACATCAAAGTCCACCAAACTTTTCTTCAGGCGTAAACACAAAATCAACTTTAAAAAATCTTGACCTCAGTTGCACACGTTATTTATTTAACTGGAGGCAGGACCCACCCCTCACCCTTAAACCTCAACAAACAAACCTGTGTGATGTTGGCCTGGGGACTACAGTTCCAAACATCGATGTCCACTTGTCACAGTGTCTCACTGACAGTACCAAGAATTTGTACCACCTTAGTGACAGACTAGGCAGGAGAATTACTTAACTTCTAACATATCCCAAGATGAAATCTTTTCTAAACTTTCAGACAGGTATCTATAATAAATGAATAAACCTGAATTGTAATTGACTTGTCTCTTTCATTTCCTAATTTCTGATTATTTTTGATTCAGTGACTTTTATCTTCATCGTAGAAGTGTAAGGGATAGGAATTAAAACTATTGATAGACTCCTAACTTTTTGCTCTTAAAACTACTCATTTAGAAAACTACATATAAGCCTAAGGTCCACCCAAGTGTCCCTCACAGGGAGCCTGCACAGTAAAAGGCAGGACTGACACGCCATTGAATACTATAGAGCAATTGGATACATCCAGCAGGACCAGAGGCTCCCAAATGTTTTTACTGCATGGCACCCTTAGAAACGCACCAATTTTTTCACAGCACTCCTAGGCCACCCAAAAACGGCTACCAGTTCTGTCCATTACATAGTTAGGTCTAAACAGCTTAATATATATTTTTGTCCTAACAACTGGGTAGCTGTTTGAAGAGAATAATACACATAAATTGGAGGAGAAAATAGTATTTCATTTCATTCTTATCAGACTCATTTCCCAAGGAGACGTGTGTGCGCCGTGGGCACTGTGTGCCTTCTCAAACGCTGGGATCCGATGGGACGCTGCCACCCTTCCGAGTCACCTCGATTTCCCAGCAGCACTCATTCTGCACCACCACCGCTGGGAACACAGCTTGGCAAAGACGTCACGCTATAGCATAGCGGAAGACAGCACACCCCAACGTTGGACTGCGTGCTCCCTTGAGTTGGCAGTTCACATGGAGCCCGACAGACGTCGAGTATCACTGTGTTTTCTTCGAAAAGTAAAAATATCCCACAGGAGTCCTGTGGACTCCTTGCAGCTTCTCAGGCACACAGTTTGGGAACCACAGAATTTTTTAAATATGTGTGTGTGTGCGTGCACACACGTGCGAACAAACTGTAAAAACGGTGCTAAATAAAAAAGCATTTAAAAACTATGGCTTACAGAGATTAGCCAGAGAATATATATGCATATATGCACAGCCCATGGACACAGACAACAATGTCGTGAAGATGGGGTGGGGGAGGGGGAGATGGCACATCTGTAATGGTGTCAACAATAAAAATAAATAAACTATGGCCTGTGGGGTGTCACTGAGTCTGCTCTTGCAAGGTTTCAATGACCTGCCTCCTCACTACTAAACTGGGGACAGGCTTCCCTGCAGCATTTGACCCTGTTCAGTGTCATCGCCCAGGAAGGTTTTTCCATTGGCTTCCTCCACGCCCCTCTCTCACGGTGTCTATTGACTTGTCCTTTGCAGTTCCCTCTGGGGGTCTCCAGCTGTCCCATTCTGAGTCCTTTCTGCCTACTCTAGGCCACTTCCATTGGGAGCTGCTGATAATTCCCAAACTATTGCTGTCAGCCCAGACCTCTTTCCTGAGCTGGGGGCCACATATCCAACTGCGTGTTCAACATCTCCACTCGGATATCCATAGGCACCATAAGCCCGCCCTGTCCTGACTATCTCACCGTCTTCCCCCAGCCTGCCTCTCTGCCCATGTTTCCTAGCTCAAAGAGCAAAGCCACCCCACTCTCGGGTAGTGGCCCGAGGTAGATGGCACTGGTGGCCATTGACCCTCACCCCTCTCTGCGTCACACCCTCACTGCGGCCTCATCCCCACCGCTTGACTTTGTTCTGGCCATGAGACTGACTGGGGGCAGAGAGGTGGAAGCACAGATGGCATTTCTAAGCCTAGAACATCAGAGGCCTCACACGTTGGCCCTCGCCCTCTTATGTTCTGCTGCTTTAGGAAAGGAGCATGCTGGGAGTACTCTACTGGTCCCAGGAAGAGAAAGATGAGAGACACGTGGAGCAGAGCCACTCCAACTGATCCTAGCTGAGATCGGCTCATCCCCGCTGACCTGCGGACATGGGACGGATGATGAAAGATTATTGTTTTAGCCACCAATGTTGAGGGTGTCTTGTTATACATCAACAGCTAACCAATCCGGTCACCTAAACCAGAAAACTGGACATCACCTTTGATCTCTCCCTCTCTCAGTCCACGAAGTCCCCAGAGTTTCCTAAGTCTCTGTGTCCATCTATTTCTCTGCGTCCTTAGCACCTCTGCCCTAAGTCAGGCCTCCTGCAACCACATTCAAACCAATTTTCCCTTCCTCCGCTTTACCCCATTCTCCTCCATAGAGCACCTGCGGCGCTCTTCCTAGTGTGCAACTGGGGTACCGTGACTCCTCTTCTGTTGGTGGGCTTTGCCTGCTTAGGGCCTGGATAAGGGAAGGACACTGGCTGGAGTCTGCCCCCCGTAAAAAACGTCTAAACCGAGGGTTCCCCAGAATTCCTCTACTACTGGGTGCCCTTTTCAGACATCAACGAGGAAGACAACACAATTTGGAATTAAGATGTCTGTCTGCGTGTCTTGCTAATGCATGTGATCATGGATATGCAGTATCCTTATGTTAGCAAATGGGCTTTCAGACCTCCAGTCTTCTCTGTGGCCATAGTGAGAGGATTGTTATAGCAAGAGAAAGGATGAGTCACCAGAATCGCAGAAGTGCCACAGCCCAAGAGATAGGTACCCTGAGCAAGACAAGGTGTCTCTGTGCAGGAGCTTGAGAAAGAGCCAGAGGCCTTGAACTTCATGAGACAGTTGTATGTTGCCAGGGGCCTTCTCACAAGACTGCTCGGCAAATTGCCTTGTTCGGTGGTTAAATGTAGACTCTGGAGCCAAACTTCATGGCTCTGGGCCCAGCTCTGCTGTTGATCTCGGGATCTGGGGCAGAGAGGAGGATCTGGGCTCCAGGCAGTTCAGCAAGCGGGACAGAGGAATTAGACCATCGCATCAGGAGCTCTGATGGGCTGGGAACCTCCCGGGAGGGGTGTCTCGCCTGACTTCCGGGAGAAGTCAGTCCCAGGGACAAGAAGGAGGTAGGCAGGTGGAATGAGGGGAAGGGAAGGTGTCCCCAGCTCCAAGAAGATAGGGAAAGCTCCGAATCTTGGTTCTCACGCCTCCTTCATCTTGATTAGGCCGTCAATCCCAGCTGACGGCAGGAACAAATGAGCCCCTCGGTGGAGGCATCGGGAGTTCTGGTTTTAATTACAGAGGTAGGATGTGGCACATGCGGAGCCACTCAGACTGGCTGGGTCAGGGTAGGGCCTGCTGGAGCCCAGTGCTCCCAGCCACAGGGCACATTTCCCTGTGACCACCACGGTGGGTGCAGCTGTTCCAGTACCCAAGACACGGTCATGGAGGTCTCCAGGCCCAGGGCCATCAGAGAGATAGGAGGGACAAGCTGGCTTCAAATTGGGTGGGGGGTTGGGAGACAGCCGGCGGTGGAGAGAGCGCCCTTCTCTCCTGAGCAGGTCTTCTGAGCAGGTTCGAAGTCCCCGGCGCCGGTCAGACGTGTGGTCTTCTGAGCAGGTTCGAAGTCCCCGGCGCCGGTCAGATGTGTGTCCGCTCCCGCGTCGCCCGGCAGGCGGAGCCAGAGCACAAGCCTCCCCGTGACTCGGGTACAGGAGTCCGTCGGGGCGGGGCGAGGGGCGGGCTCCTGCGTCTCCGGGCGTTAGAGCGCGGCGACCGTCACGCCGCGGGAAGAACGGACGAGTGCGCCGCCAAGCTCCCTGCAGCCATGGCGGAGCCCGCTGCTCGCCGCTGCTGCCTGGGCTGGGACTTCAGCACGCAGCAGGTACCGTCTCGGGCCCCTGGCGCGGGAGGGGCGGGGCGGGGCCGCCTCCTCCGCGTCGTCGGGCGGGCTAGTGGGCCCCCCGGTCTGGGGACGCCTGGGCCAAGCCGCGGGCGCACCCTCCTCTCGAACTTATCGGGGACCCGGCGCCCCTGTCCAACGACGCCGTGTCAGTGCCGCCCGCTCGAAAGATGCCACCACGCCTGTACCTCGACCCTCCCGGAAACGGCGTCCCCCTCCACCCTCCTACCCCCGCGGCGTGCACTTGGCAGGGAAGTGCCCAGAGTGGCGTGAGGACCCAGCGGGCTCTCGCGCTGTCAGAGCCACCAAGTGACAGGACCCCGAAGGAACTCTGCCACTGTAACTACTGCGTGGCGGGGAAACAGGTCGTGAGCACACAGGCATAACCCGTGATCTGGAACCGTATCACTGCTTGAAACTTTTTTTTTTTCTTTTTTTTAGTGGAATGGGCACAGTATACACATGAACTTTGTTCCCCCCTTGTTTGGCACCAGCGTGCCGGGGTCAGCGTGCCCAGCACTCCTGGCCAGAGGACGCGCTGTGCTGCTCCCAGGACCCCACGGACAGGAGTGCAGTCAAAAGTTGCCTTCATACTGGGCGTGGGTGCCAAGGCGCTCCTTCTTTCCCTGGGAAATCATCGCAATTGTAATCGAACGCCTATTCTCACATGGGCCGCGGAGGCAGGCCAGTCCGTGACCAAGAATTCTTGTGAGGCCCTGGACAAGTCAGGTTGCCTTGCAAGACCTCAGTTTCCCCATCTGTCCAGGAAAGGAATTGTACCCTTGGGTTTGGAGGTCTGCTGCATTGGGGCACTATATGTTTCTGGACCATGGCCACGGCCTATAGCCCAGGGGCCTTGCCTGATCTCGCAGATCCCTGTAGATACGGTCCCCCAGAGCCATCTCCAAACCTTAGCCTGCCATTCCTTCTCCTCTCTAGGGCTTTTTCAGGCCTCCGGCCCAGGTGCAGGGACCAGGTCATCTCTATAGAGGGTTTTGGCTTTGGCTGTTTGATGGGCAGAGATTCTTCGAGTTACCTGGACGTCAACTCATTCTCAGCTTCTCCATTATACTCAGTCTTTGGGTATGCCCCCAGATGAGGCTCTGTTACCATGGTTATGGTGATGCACCCCAGCCTTCCAGGAAGTCTCCAGGTTGAACCACTCACTTCTAGGTTGCTGGGCTTCACTTAACGATGTTTGTCCCTGGACCAGTGTAGAAGCTGAGGAAAATGCCACACACCGTCTGTTTGAATGTCTTCCAGGTGAAAGTCATGGCTGTTGATGCAGAGCTGAATGTCTTCTATGAGGACAGTGTGAATTTTGACAGGGACCTTCCAGAATTTGGGTATGTATTTAGTGTACATGTTTCCGTGTGTGGGAAGAGGTTGGTTTGGGGGTCTCCACCCAACCTTTTACATTCATAAACACAGTATTCTGACCTCATCAAACGGCAGAAGCGGTGGTATTCGTAGAACTCTCAGTACTTTTTTTTTTTTTTTTTTCTATGCTTGGAATGCTCTTGCCTCTGTTCCTTCCCGGTCCCTCTCATTCATTCATGCATTCATGCAGTAGGTGCCAGCTGGGACTTTGCATTGGGTACTGTGCTGGGTGCTGAGAATTTTCTATAAAGGGAATCATAATAATATACTTTTTAAAATCTGACTTAAAATTCAATATAATCATTCTGAGAGTCATCCATGTCGTTAGATGCATCAGTAGCTTGTTCTTTTTATTGCTCAGTAGTATCCATTGTATGAATGGATTGCAATTAGTTTATCCATTCACCTAATGAGAGAGACATTTGGGTTGTTTCCAGGTTTTTAGTATTATAAATAGAGAGGTTGTGAAATTCACATACAAGTCTTTGTGTTGACATAAGCTTTCATTTCTCTTGGAAATGAAATACCCAAAAATGGCTCAGCTGTATGGTAGGTGTATATTTAACTTTTTGAGAAATTGCCAGTTCTCTTCCAAAGTGGTTATTTTAATAAAAATGTTTTGTGAACAGACATTGCATGTACTTGATACATAATTCAAAAGAAACAAAAGGCACACAGTGAAAAGTCTTAATTCCTCTGCGATCTCATCTCTTCCCTCCTGCCCTCTTCAATTTCTTTAGCTGGTTTATTTTTTTTGCATATCCTTCCAGTGTTTCATATTGAAATATTAGCAGATAAGAACATTCTCATTTCCCCCTTTCTCACACACACTGTACATACCAATCTGCACTTTGCTTTATTCGTTTCCTAATCACTTGGCTATGTTTCCATGTCAGTACATAGAGCTTGTGTGTTCTTTTTGGAGATACCTCACATTTCATTGGGTAGATTTATGATCTCCTATTTAAGGCTATTGAGATGTTTGCAATGAAAAATGATGTAGTGAATGACCTACATGTGCAATCACAGACAGTGCCAGTTTATCTGTGAGATGAAATTTAGGAAATAGCATTGCTGGATCAAAGAGCAGATAGATTTATAATTTTTGGAAGATATAGTCAAATTGCCTCCCAGAGGGATTGTATTGATTTACACCCCACCAGCAATACATGAGAGCGTCTGTTTCCCACAGCGCTGCTAAATCACTGTGATCATAAAAGGGCTTTTGGTTCTTTGCCAGAGAGGTGAAAAATGATCTCTCTATGTAGATTTAGCTTGCATTTCTCTTACTGTGAGTGAAGCTGAGCACCTTTTCATATGTTGAAGAGCTACTGGAATTTATTTTTCTGTGAAGTTATTTTTCATATTCTCTGCCCATTTTTCTGTTGGATTGGTTATCTATTACTTATTAATTTCTAGGAGCTCTTCATATATTAGAGGAGCTCTTCATAGATATATATATCATCTTGTTACATGAATTGCAAATATGTTTCTCAGATTGTTGTTTGTTTTGATTTGTGTATGAGTGCTTGCTGTTGTTGCCATTCATGGGTTTTTCTTTTCTATGCCATTGAATTTCTCCATCTGTTTTTCTATTGCTTCTAGATTTTGAGTCATACTTTTAAAAAACCCTTCCTTACTCAAGATTATGAAGAAATTCACTTGTATTTTCATCTAGTTCTTATAGGATTTCAGTTTTCTTATATAAAGATATTTGGAGTTTATTTAGGAACATGGCAGGACATTTATATGTAATATTTTTCCAGATGACTCTTCAGTTGTTTTAACAGAATTCTGTAAATTTTTTTATTTATTTTATTTATTTTTTTTAGAGCGAGGAGAAGGGATGGAGAGAGGGAGAGAAACATCGATGTGTGGTTGCTTCTTGCATGCCCCCTATTGGGGACCTGGCCCATAACCCAGGCATGTGCCCTGACCGGGAATCGAACCGGAAACCTTTTGGTTCTCAGGCCAGTACTCAATCCACTGAGCCATACAAGTCAGAGCATCACTATGTATTTGAGAATTAGCATTTAATGTTCCAGAAAGAAAAATTGTTAATATTTTTATTGAGATCATACTACATTTATAAATTAACATGGAGGGAATTGACAAAAGATCCAGTCTTCCTGTCTAAGCATGTGCTGTTTTTCCATTTGTTCAAGTCTTCTTTTGAGCACTTCATGTGTGTCTTAGTATGCTTAACATAGATTTTTCACATTGTAGTATATTGCAAAAATGACCATCATTCTCCACACCTCCTTGTACCCACACCCTTTGCAGTGTGATTGTGCAGCTCCTTTTATCAAGGGATGGAGTCATTTCCCGACCTGTTGATTTTAATTAGTAGAACATGGGAGAAGTCACATTGTACCAATTCTAACCCTAACCCTCAAGAGGCTTGGTGTGCCTCTACTCTCAGTCTTGGAATCCTGTTCCACCACCACATGAACCAGCTCAGGCCAGCCTGCTGGAGAATGAGAGAGACACGTGGCCTAGTTGCCCCATATCCCCAGCTAAGAGAGGCAGAATTCAGCCCTCAGAAGCAGAGCCCTCTAGCTATACTTAGCTGATCACAGATGCCTGAGCGAGCTTAGCTGAGACCAGAAGAACCATCCAGCTGAGCCCAGCCCAGTGACTGACCAATGGAATTGTGAGCTAAGTAGTTTCAAGCCACTGTGTTTTGAAGTAGCTTGTAACAGGCAAAAACTACCCAATATACATAGTTATTTTAAATCTTATTTGTAACTGTTTTATTGTTTTGCATGAGGGCCTCATAGGAGTGAGGAGGGGAGGGAGAGGGTTCCAAGGAATCTTCCGTGGCCTATAATCCAAGGACTCGGTCTGATAGCCCAGACCTTTTCTCACAGCTCCTCCTGTGAGGTGTAGTCACACCTCTACCTCTCCAAGCGCAGTGGATTTGGGAGGGCTTCTTATCTAGCCCCTTGCCCCACCGCCTCAGTTCCTTCTTGACTATTGCACCAAGTGACACCATGCCTGCCTTCTATGGCTTGTTTTTGCCAGTGTTTTCTGAGAACTGCCACCTCTGGGCTACTCTGGGCAATTTCCGTGCCTTCTCTTTTCATCTCACTCAGCATTCATGCCTGTCCAATCTCGGGTTCCCTCTTGAGGTTGGGGGGGGGGGCGTTTCTGCTTCCACTGGAGGTGCCCAGGGTCTGCCACCTGCCCGAGCTCTGTCCCACGTTCTCCCCTGTTCTCCTTGCAGGACTCAGGGTGGGGTTCATGTTCACCAGGATGGTCTGACAGTGACTTCTCCAGTCCTGATGTGGGTCCAGGTAAGCACAGGGGTTCCTGTCCCTCTCCTGTCCACCGCCTGTCTTACCATCAGACCTAGCTCATGAGAGCACCTGTTGAGACCGAGTCCTCATGGGGAATGGAGTCTGTGTGGCTCCTTGGGCCAGGCTCAGCCTCAGCTGGTGTCTGCACACCTGAGCTGAGGGCACTCTCAAAGGGCTTCCAGGCTCTGGAGCCATAGCGGCTGGAAGTCCAGCCAGCCTCCATCTTTACAATACCACAGAGGAGACCTTTCCTGAACACTCTGCAGCCAGCCTTCTACCCTGAGATCCAAACACAGCCTTGGGTTCTCAGTGCTCGGTCCCCAGACCCCTCATCTCCCAGGACAGGGGCCTTCTGAATGGTGGCTCATGAGCTGCCCCATCAGGCTCAGATGGATCCCAGGCAGGCCTGCCCACTCAAGACCAGTGTGAAAGGAAGATCCCTGTTGCTAGATCCAGGTGACCCATGGGGCCACAGGAGCGGGGCTGTGGACCCTGCAGACAAGCATGTTAGGGCTGGGGGCTGCCTGAGACGCCCCAGGGGACCCACAGCCCTGAAACTGGAGGCCAGCCAAAGGCAGAACCCAGTGCATCTGTCAGAAGCTTTCTCAGTCCGCCAATTCCTGTCTAGCCAATTTCCTGTAGCAAATTCTTTCTGTTCAGATAACTAGTGTGATTTTTTTTTTTTTTTTTAAATCTCTCTGACCCTGACTCACCCTGGAGGACTGGGGTAAAAGATGGCTGCCACCAGGCAGGCCGGCTGGAGTGTACTGCAGAGGCCTGAGCCAGGCCGAGGGGCCGCGGTGGAGGGGCTGGGGGTGGCAGGCCAGAGTTGGGTCCAGAGGTCCCAGTGGTGGTGCTAAGACCTTATCTGGGGAGGTGAGCAGTGGGTAGGGAGCCAGGCTTGCGGCTGGGGCCAGGTGGTTTCTATAATAATTTAGAGCAGTCCCCAGGACTGGACCTGTTCTAGTTTTGCCAGTCCCTGCCCTGGCTGTACCACGCCCCCTGTGTGAGGTTTGGCAAGCAGGGTTAGAGTTGAGAGCCCCAGCCAGGACTATGAAAGGAGCGCCCTCGCATAGGGTGGGGATGGCGGGGTCCACCGAAAGCTCAGGTGGCTTCTCCACCCACAAGGAAACCCCAGCCTGGGGACTCCAGGGCCTGCTGGGAAATCTGAGGGGAAGCGTCCAGCTCTCCTGGGGACAGCCCTCCCCCACCCCAGCAGTGGAGTCTTGCTAGAGAGAGGATTCCATCTGGATGGCGGATGGCGGATGGCAGAGGGGTTGAGACAAGTGGCCGCCAGCTCTCTCCAGCCTTGCTCTCCTGGACCCGGGGATGCGGGCCTGCGGGCCTTTCTGGTGGGAGCCCTCTACTTTGCTCTTCACTTCTCCATTGCAGTGAAGTCGCATCACGCACAGGGTGGGTTGAAAATGCAAATAAAAGAAACCCAAATTTGAGCCTCTTTGTTTTCTCTCTTCCTGAGTGCCTAGAAGTCACCAATTGGAGAAGCAGAATTAAGGATTAGTCATACGTGCTTTCATTTATTTAAAATATTTTTAGTATGTTCATCTCTTTGTTTGATTGACACCTCCTTGTTTAATTAATGTATCAGTTCCTTGTACGTCACCTCAGCTGTGATGACAAGCCCTTCCATTTCAGTGTTGAGGCTTGTGTGGTTGCCTGGTTTTGGTTCAGTACAGTCATGGTGGATTCTGTGTTTCTGCTCAGGCTTTGGATATCATCTTGGAGAAGATGAAGGCTTCGGGCTTCGACTTCTCTCGAGTCCTCGCCTTGTCCGGGGCGGGCCAGGTTTGTCTGCAGCAGGCCGCGGGGACTGCGTGAGGGCGGCTGTTCTCGGCAGCGGAGCCCGTGCCGAGGTGCTGGCTCCTCGAGAGGGAAGGTGCTCGAGACCTTTTGAGACCCAGTGTGTGCATTTTGTTGTTAGTAAAAATCCCCATGAGCTGTTTTGCCTTACGGGTGTTCAGCTCTTTGCAGAAGGACCTGAGATAGTTCTTCCGATTCAGCATTGCACAGAGGAGGGCGGTGGGTGAGGAGAAACTGGATAGAGGTTCTTTGAGGGGATGGAGGGAACATTGGACGTGAATTTGTTGTGACTGAGGCACTAAAATTGCTTTTCTATTTCTTGGAAGTAAAGTGGAGTCAGAAATTATTCTAATCATGATAGCAGTCTTATTAGTAGAGACATTAGTAATAATAATAACAATGAACAGTGAGCACTTAGTGTATGCCAGGTGCAGCGCTGAGCCTTTTGTAGAAATGATCTGAGTCCTCATACCGTTTCCACGAGTGTGAGCACGGTGTTCTGGGCCCGCGGCTGGGGCTTGATCCCCAGCTCTGCCATGCCCAGCGGTGACCTGCTGACGTCCGTCCAGGTCTGTTGCCTCCTCACCCTCATCTGCCACAGGCTCAGTGTGAGTGTTAAATACGTAAAATTTAACAGTGTCTAATATGTACAATCCATACGTTCTAGCTATGGTTTTTATTATCATTGCCATTTATACTGGGATTCTAAGGCACAGAGGAGGGATGTCACTTGTCCAAGGTCACATAGCTGCCAGGAGGGGAAATCAGGATCCAAATCCAGTTTCACCTTCAGAATCACTTTGCTCCGTGCTGGGTTAGGCCTTGTTAGAGAAAGCTTACTAATGTCTCTGAAGATGCCTCTTCTTCCCCCTGACCTAATGGGAATTGATTGCTTCTGTCCTTGTTAAACTAAACAGATTCCCTGCGTTATCTTGTCTGCCTCTCACCTGAACCCGGGCTTAGGCACCCTCTCCCTCCTTCACCCCCTTGGCCAGGTGTCCTAGGAACACCCCAAATTTGCCATGCCCCAGGCTGAGCACCCACGTACCCCCAGACTCCTCCTCCTTGGGTTCCCTCTCTCAGGGAGTTCTCCCTATCCACCCAGGGCCACATCCACGGGTCCCCACGTGGGTTTGTACACGACTCTCAAATCTGCCCCAGCTCTTCTCCAGCTCTGCTTCTGTTGCCCAGGCCTAGCACCATCATTTTTCCCTGGGCCTCTGCCCCAGCCTCCCTGGTTGCCACAGGCCCATTCATACCTTCAACCCTGGCCACATCTTGCTACTCTAGCGTCCCCACCACCTCCAGGATAAACCCCAACCTTCTAAGCCTGGACATCAAGGCCCCGGTGCTGCACCTTGCCCCCGAGCCCCATCACCCACCTCCTGCCCCAGCTGTGGGCCCACTGCCGAGAATGCCACCCTTCCCGACACCTGCCAGGCTCTCTGTCACCTGTGGTCACACTCTGCCTGGAGCACGCACACACTCAGATCCGGCATCCCTGCCTAACAATCACATCTACTTCTGCCCACCTGCACCCCCAGCTGGGTAGATGGCCCTCTCTGTGTTCCCACAGCCTTCTCACTGCACCCCCAGGGTTTTGTAATTGTACATTTGTGTCTTTTTCCCCAACTCAATGCCCACGTCCTACAGAATAGGAACAATACTACCTCATTCATCTCTCCCATGCCTAGCTCAGTAAGTGTTTGTTGAATGAATGAATGAATGAATGGGTAAGTGAATGAATGAGTGAATTTCAGGTAGTGTTATGAGCAACATATTAAATACAACTGTACAAAGGCACCAAAATCCAGACCGATCAGTCTTTCTGTGAGGAAGCGAGTCTTGCGAAGAGGGTAAGCTCTGGAGCTAAGAAGGGCAGGGGAGGCCTGGAGCCCAGCTCTTTGGTGTGTGGCCTGGGGTCTTCCTGTGTCTCCTAAGGCTGTGACACCAGTGTGCGGCCTAATGAACATGTACTTGGCTTTCCCCGGACAGCAACATGGAAGTATATACTGGAAAACCGGGGCCAGTCGGGTGCTGACGGGCCTGTCGCCAGACCTCCCGTTATGCAAGCAGCTGCAGGTAATGGTCCAGGATGGGGGAGGCAGAGAAGCTTCTGCAGAGAGTGAAGAAAGGCCCTGAGGCCTGGGGCTTTTTGTGCACTGTCGGGGTGTAGGAAGTCAGCTCGGGCGGTAGTCCTGTGAGCGTGGTCGGCCCTGTTCCCCTGCATCGCGGTTACCTGCTGTCTGGACAAGGCTCAGGTGCTAACAGCCCTCAGCGCCCTGCTTGCCTCTGGCTGATCCAGTCTTCGGAACCTCCCCTCGGGGCAAGGTGCCTCCTCCTGATGCCGGAAGGCCAGCTCTGGCTTTTCCTCTTCTTTCCGGCTCCAAATGCCCCTGCACGGGCCCTTTCCAATCCACCTCTAGTGTCGCCTGCGGCACTCAGGCATCCTCACTAGAGCCTTCAACCTGGGGCTTCCTGGGGGCGACCCGCAGTGGGCCAGACTGAGGTGTGGGCGTGAAGGGCGGGCCCGTAGGTCTTCCAAGGTCACATGCGGGGAAGAGGCGCCCACACCTGCTGTGATGGGCAGTGTGACCGCCAGTCCCAGAATCAGCAGGCGGAGCCCCTCCTTTGCAGGCCTGTTTCTCCATCAGCGACTGCCCGGTGTGGATGGACTCCAGCACCGCCGCCCAGTGCCGCCAGCTGGAGGCCGCCGTGGGCGGGGCCCAGGCTCTCAGCCGCCTCACCGGCTCCCGCGCCTACGAGGTGGGTGGGCCTATGCGCTGGACTGGGTCTGGCCTTGGGAGGAAGGTCTGGTTGTTGACTCTGGTGCCGGTTCCGGTTCCGTGGCTGTCTGGGAGGACACAGCTGGCCGCTGGCCCCTGTGTGGGTGTCGCCTCCGAGGAGCCAGGACTAGGCGCTCTGGCCCCTGGTTCTGATCCAGGCCGCCCTGCCTTCCGTGTGCGGCACATCGAGCAGGGGCAGGCCTCCCTCTACGTGTTCCCCGGTCAGACCCGAGGTGTGAACACGGCTGTGCTCCTCGCGCTGAGCCAAGGTGATGATCGGACCCCGGTTTCAGCCTCTCTACCCTGAGGGTAAAAGCAGCACTTACATTTTGGGTAGTTTAGAAGCTGAAGGTAATCAGTACGTGTAAGACAGTACAGTTCCTGGCAAAGGGAGGAAAAAAGAAAGAATGCCTTTTTCCCACTGGCATCAGCTGTGGTCCCACCCCATTGCACAGTGGCTGCCACGCGCCCAGTGCCACGTTGGGTCATGGGACCCTCCCTGGAGTAGAGAGTTTGGGGAATCGGGCCAATCGTACTTGGGCCACCTGAAGTAAGAAGAACGTGGGCAGGGAAGATACCTGAGTCCCCTGCACAGGTGCCTGTGGTCGTGTGGCCCCTGGGCTGTGTTTAAGTCCCCAAGCAAGGCTTAGTCACTAAGGGTGGTTAGCAGTAGGAAGCATTTCTGAGGCCTTTTTAAAAAAAAAAAATTAATTTTATTTATTTATTTTTAGAGAAAGAAGAAAGGGAGAAAGGGAAAGAAACATCAATATGTGGTTGCCTCTTGTGTACCCCCTACTGGGGACCTAGCCTGCAACCCAGGCACGTGCCCTGACTGGGAATTGAACCAGCAACCCTGTGGTTCACAGGCCAGCACACAATCCACTGAGCCACACCAGCCATGGCCCAAGGCCTTTTAAAGCCTTTAAAACATGAACTGATACTCAGAGCATGCTACACTCCCCTCGCTTTATGGAGTGGATCATTCCATGTAGGATTCTAGTTTTTAAGAATATGCCATCTTTTTCCAGAGATTTACGGGAAACCAAATTGCAAAGATTTACCAGCAGAACCCCGGGGCCTACTCACACACAGAGGTTGGTTAAACGTTCCTGCTTGATTGACAGCCACAGTTGAATTCCTTCTACAATACTTCCCTTTACCAGAGATACATCTCGTGGGCACTGGTGGAAAAACATTGATTAACAAACATTAAGAATAACATGTCCCATTGGCTTTTCTTCTCATTTGGAAACAATTTGCTTGTCTCCAAAAAGGAGGAAAAGAATGGAATTGTGTGAAAGAAAAGTCAGGGACTCTCCTATTCACAAGGGGCGGAGGTCAGGGTCAGGGTCAAGGTGGGAACCGCAGGGATGGGTGTCTTCCTGGGACCAGCCGCGTGAGGCATCAGGGTACCCTTTCAGCTCTGTCCACTCAATTTCCTGAATGGTTAATGCAGCGTGGCTACCAAGCTCTTGATTGGCATGGGGTCAGTGTTTTCTTCGGAAATTTGTAAAGCTGGACTGATGTGTCCCCAGCTGTGACCCTTCAACCCGAGGCTGCGTCCCAGGAAACCCAGATTTATTCATTGACCCAGTTGCTGAAAGCCTGCACTTAATGCCACCTAAGAAGGCGGTTTTCCATCTCTGAATAATTAGACAATGGTCAGCGCGTGTTAAACCAAAGGGACTTTTTAATCTTCTAAGTTAATATCCGTTTATTATTTAATGATTTAAGATTACTTGGTAGCATTAGCCTGTAGGTTGGGGGTAGGGGGTAAACAACCCTCTCCAAATTCTGTGTCAAAGGTGGCCTGATGGGGACGAGGGTGTCATCCTTCTCTGCCCTGGTCCAAGGGCCCAAGATTCCCATGTGGAAGCACAGACCCTCGGGCTGACATTTGAAATCTGTTCTCAGTTCCTCCAGCTCATGTCTGGGGTCTTTGGCTTTCAAGGGGCCGGCTTTCATGGATATTTACTTTGAACCCCCGCGTGTGCCTTTGTTGGTTCTGAGTCCTGTGGCCACACCCTCCACTGCCCTTGTGACTAGGTATGAAGACCTCAGAAGTGGAGGAAGGAAGTCAGGGCACCACACTCCCCGGATTCAGGGAGGAAAACCCACTCCTCTAAGCATGGCTTTTTCAGAGGGCCTCTTGCTCCTTGTCGGTGTTGAACTTGACAGTTTTATGATCTGCAGAGTGAGGTGCCACTGCCATCACTCTTCACAGCTTCCACATTCCTCCCAGTTTAAACCTCTTCTCGTGCGTGTGTGTGGTGTGTATGTGAAGTATTCGGTTGCTTAGGGTATAGGGAAGTGAGTCCTATCCCATCGCTTCCTTCTCTTACAGAGAATTTCCTTGGTCAGTAGTTTTGCCGCCTCCCTGTTCCTTGGGTCTTACTGCCCCGTTGACTACAGCGATGGTAAGCCTTCGGGTCCTGGGCGTGTGCCCGTGCGGTGGGCGCGGGCATCGTGAGCCGCAGCCACCTGGGTGGGTGCCAGCCTTTCAGTTCTATCATCTATTGCCAAGGAGGCAGGGTATTAGTTATCTTTTGCTGGGTGACAGATGACCACAGCTCTTAGCAGCTGAAGATCACAAATGTTTCTTATCCCACAGAGTTTCTGAAGGTCAGGAATCTGGGAGCAGCTTAGCTGGGTGGTTCTGTCTGGCTCAAGATCTCTTGTGAGGGGCCATCCAGCTGGCCACCAGGGCTACGGTCATCTAAAGGCTTATCTGGGGCTGGAGGATCCACGTCCAGGGTCAGACACGTGACTGTTGGCCAGAGGCCTCCGTTTCCCCCTGTGTGAGACTCCTGTGAGGCTGCTATTGACAACATAGCCGGGTTCCACCAACGAGGGGTGGGAGACGGAGAGAGCAGCCCAGCAGAAGCTGCAGAGTTCTGCACCCTAATCTTAGGGAGTGACACGTGATCACTTCTGCCTTAGTCTGTGGGTCTTACAGACCTAGCCAGGGACGGGTTCGGAGGGACCTCGCAGGTGTGAACACCTGGACTCCAGGGTGAGCAGGGTACCCAGAGAGGTTCTTGACTGAAGTTCACATTTGGGGAACTCATGAGAAGTGTGAGTTTCTGGAATCAAAACAGAACAATAATAAGCAGAGATGGTGCCAGGGAGGAAGGAAAGCTGGGAGGAGGTACTGAAGGAGCTCTTGGATGAGCCTAGAGTAAAAGGAGTGACCGGAAGCAGGGAGGATAGTGTAGCGCAAGAGCCCAGGCCCATGAAAATGGCTGCAGAAAGAGCGAACGCTCTGAGCCTCCTGGAATTTACCTGAAGTTTCCAGGGAGATAAAGTGAGATGACTAAGGAGTGGTCCCCAAGCTTCACTTGCAGTCTGGAGGAAAAATAGATCTTGCAGCTAATTACATGGAACTAAGAGCAGCAGAACCTAAGCCTGGCCTAGCCCGAGTGTCCGCCTGTGCTCTCCACCCCTACCTGGGCCTGTTACGTGCTGCTGGGGGAGATCACAGACTGCTCCAGTGGGCATGTGGGTGGCGGGGGTCAGGGGGCGGGGGAGGGGTCGCATTCTTCAACCTCCGCTGGGCCCCCCACGCCCGCTCACCTGAGAGTTACCTCCGAATCTACTAGTCTAGTCGCCAACCTTCTCACTGGGGCACGTGACTCCATCCCTGTCCCAGCCCCCTCTCTCTGACTCCATCTGTGCTCTTGGTTCCCTCCCCTCCCCCATCCCGCGGAAAGCCTGGGAGAAAGAGATGGTTTCAGGAAAGACTTAGTGCTGAGCATGAGGAAGGCTGGAGGACCCAGAGAGCTCTCCTAGGAGGGAGATGGGACAGGGGAGTCTCTGCAGGCTGGCCCACATCAGCCACAGGCTGCCTCCCAGTGGACACCTTGAACAGCAGGGGACACAATGGGTGGTTCCTTGTCAACAGACTGCTGGTGGTCCCCCGCCCCCGGCCAGGTCTCAGAGCGGCAGCTTCGCAGGCAACCCTGGTGTTCCAGCCAGCGTGGGAGTACTCGGAGGGAGCGGTGGGGCCATGTGTTTCCCAGGGCCCTGCTGGTTCTGTGGTTCCAGCGTGACCCGGGCACGGGGCACACATTCCATTGGTACAAGAATGATCTGCTCTCTGCCAGGTTTGTGCATTGTCACAAGGTGTCTCTAATTCTTATTTCCTTTCTTCCTTAGGTTCTGGAATGAATCTGTTGCACATCCAGGACAAAGTCTGGTCCCAGGCTTGCCTCAGGGCCTGTGCCCCCCATTTAGAGGAGAAGCTCGGCCCCCCAGTACCATCGTGCTCCGCTGTGGTAGGTCCTGTTCCCAGGGATGCGGCCTCTTTAGGAGCGGGCAGCTGCGGGGAAGCAATGCAGTGTACGCACTCACGCACGCACATGCACACATTCGTTTATGCACGGGACTTTCAGTCTAGGGGTAGACAGGTAAAGTAACATGTCTGTGTCGGTGCCTTGCACTGAGTAGGTACCCAGGTGCAGGTAGAGATCACTGCCTTCTGGCAGTGGAGGAGGGGAGAGATTTGGAAAATTCCACGAGAAATCTATTGGAATAGGAAAAAAAATGCAGGCCAAGTTCTGGGTGATTGCACACCTCAGGGGGAAAAAAAGAGAAAGTTGCAGTTCTGGGGTTAGGGACCACCGCTGAAGCTTGACGCTGGTGGTCTGGAGAAAACAGAAGTACCGGAGAGCCAGGCAGAGCACAGGCCCTCGTGCCAGGCCCCCCGGGACGGAATCCTGACTGGCTCTGAGGCTTTATTCTGTGCCTCAGTTTCCTCATCATTTCCATTGTTCCTGAAACGATTAGAATAATAGCACTTTCTATCTCCCTGTGTGGTTATGTCATATAAATGAGTTGATATCATCAATGTGCTAAAGATACTTAGGGTAGCACCTGGTCCCACTGTGACAGTAAAAACATTCGAGCATGAGCGCGATGCCCCATTCAGAAGAGACATGGCTGCGAACGCCCTGGGGTGCCCTCGTTGGCTGGCTCTGTTCTTGGCTGTTCTGAGGGGACAGTGGAGTCAAGAGAGACCTGAGCCGTGCCTGGGGGGGTGCCCTCCCCCACACTGCCTTTTTGGGTTTATTTCCTTTGACCTCTGCATGTGTATGTCCAGTTATTATTAAACCGGCTGCTGGGCGGACAGAGGGCATGGTCAAGGGTTGATCTACTCCCATGAGTTTGTTCACTGGTGTCCTCCGGTTATTTATTTATTTTTAATGCTGTGTCCAGAATTTGGAGCTTACGTGGCACGTACAAGTTGATCATTGGTTTGCTGTGGTGGGCTCGCATCTGAAAATCAACTTGGTCTCTGAAGGGGTGGGATAAACACACGTTTGTAGTTCCAAACCTGTCCCGGGCTCCCCTGGCTTTCTGTGAAGAGGGGGGACGTCCCTGGTTTGCCGCAGGGAGCCGTGCGACTCCGGGCTCCGTGGCCGGGAGCCTGTCGCAGTCCTGTGACAGCCGAGGGGCGGGCGGCTGTGCTGAGCAGCGGGGTTAGCCTGAGCAGTGTGCCGGCTTTCCCTCCTCAGGGACCCGTGTCTTCCTACTACGTCCAGCGCTACGGATTTTCTCCAGGATGCAAAGTGGTGGCCTTCACTGGGGACAACCCGGGTGAGTACCTGCGGGGATTTCCCCCTCCAGGTGGCCCAACTCAGTCTGTGCTGGACACTTGAGAATGCCAGCCCGGCCCTCCGGGAAGCCCTTCTGTTGTGGGATCTCTCCCTCTGGGCTGTAGGCTCCACACCTGAAACCTGACTCCGGTGCCTGCCCCACCTTGGCCCTGCCTGTCCTCAGGAGCCACTCAAGCCTGTCTCCCCACCCCAGGCGAAAACTCATCAGTGATTAAGGAAGGCAGTCCTACCTACCCCTCCTCGACCTGCCAATTCTGTTCCAAGCTAAACATCTCAGTTCCTCTAACCCTTCCTCTAGGACACGGTTTTTGAGTCCCTAGGCTGTCATTTGATCTGTAGATGGGACTGATTTCTCATCCATTCACCGTGTTTTCCTTTCAAAATGAAAACAACATCATGGAGTCTCATTAGGAGCATTTATTCATTCTTATATCTATTCAACAGCTGGAACTAACAAAGGCGCATGCTTTTTTTTTTTTTTTTTTTTTTTTTTTGGTAATTCACAGGGATACCTCTTCATTACAGAAAAAAAATTTTCAATACTGACAAACCAAAAGAAGGATGTAAACATCGTCCATAACCCAGAGATAACCACAGTTAAAATTCTGGTGGCCCTCCTTCCTACCTTTGTATGTCCCGCCAACCCAGGCAGTTTTTTTGTGCAACATTTTGACGGTTGTCGAGGGCTCAGCTGTGCCAGCATCTGTTTTACCAGTGCCCTCTGATGGAGGTGGGAGGGAATTCCTCCGCCCAGGGCTCCAACACACACACTGCTGACCGCACTTCACCGACCCCCACATTTCTCCTTTCACGCATTCATTCATTCTCCCAACGTTTAGTGAGCGCCTACTGTATGGCAGGCCGCCTTTCAGTTATTGGTGAACAAGGCAGATAAAGATCGCTGCGCGGGCCACATAACCTGCCCCTTTTCATACCACTGGCCCAGAGGAAGGTCCCTCTCTCCTGCCACACCTCTGTCTTTCTCTGCCTTGTGCGTGTGCTGTCTTGACCTGTCCCCCTCAGTTCTCTGCACTCCCGGGAGTGCCTGGCAGTGCGTGGGGAGTTTGGACTGCTTTAGGGAAGAGGTCCCAGCCCAAATCAAAGGTCGTGATCGCAGAGCCTCCACCCTCTGACTGCTGAGGCCTCCTTTGGGGCCTCCTGAACCTTCAGTGCTCCCTGTTCCTGCCTCAACCCTTAGCTTGCGGATTCTGGTGGGAGGTGGGGGCTGCACTCCCATCTCGGGGAGGGGGGTGGGCAATTGTTGTTTGCTCTGTGGCTCCCATGTTGCTAACCAGAGTCTCCCCTGCCCTTCTCAGCGTCGCTGGCAGGCATGAGGCTGGAGGAAGGTGACATCGCGGTAAGGGGCCTTCTCACGCTCACGGCTGGAGCCGGCTCTCTCTGCCCTGAGGGACATCTTTGCTGCCTCTCCGGGTCTGCCAGTCCCAAAAGGCAGCTGAGGGAGGGAGAAGGGAGACCCAGGCCCCAGGCCCTGCCTACACCTTCTGTCTGAGAGGGCCATGTGCCTTTGATGAGTCCTCTGCCTGCCTTGACAGTGGCCAGTCTTGCTGGGCACAGTGGCAGAAGGTTCAGACATTGGGCCAAGGGCTGTGAGCCCTCAGATGAATAAGGAAGACATCACCCACGCCCTCCTGGGTTTAGCAGGAGAGCTGCTCGGGGAGCCAGTCCTCACCCACACCTTTAGTTAGACGCAGCTGCGGTAAGTGCTAGAAGGTCAGTCCCTAGGCTCCGTGGGAGCCACATCAGGGCAGCGGACCTTGCACTCCTGGTGTGGGAGGTTCAGAAGAGGCTTCTCTGAGGAAGTGGCATTTAATCTGGCATCTGCGGCATGAGGGGTGGCGTGATGGGGTCAGGGCGCCTCACCTCTGCCCATCTCTCCCCAGGTCAGCCTGGGCACCAGCGACACCCTGTTTCTCTGGCTCCAGGAGCCCACGCCTGCCCTGGAAGGCCACATCTTCTGCAACCCAGTTGACCCCCAGCACTACATGGCGCTTCTGTGGTAGGCTGGGTGGGAGGAAGGCGGTGTGGGAAGGTCTGCCCCCATCTGCAGCACCTGAAGGCGTTCCATGGAGCAGGCTCTTGTGAGCAGCCGAGCCCCCCCGGGACTCATCAGGTCCTGCTGACAGCATAGCTGGGTGGGGAAGAACTCAGGACAGGGAGTCCCCAAGCGCAGGTTCAAATCCCAGCCCCACCACCTACATCCTGTACAGCCTGGGGCAGACGCCATAGCATGTTGGAGCCACTTTGCTCATAAAATGAGAATAAGAGCATTTAGTTTGTGCTGTTAGGACATGATTGGCACATGGTAGATCTTCAACAAGTGATAGTAAGGACACCCTGCTTCCTGATGGTTCTTATAGAAAGGGTGTATGTGCTCTGCGCCCTGACCACAGAGACCTGTTCAGAGACCTGCTGGAAGCTACTAAGGAAGGTTTCTGAACCTCTCAGCCCCAGGAACTGCTGGAGAATATGTAGATCTAGTAAATCTAGCCAGCCCCTCCCCGTTGCTCAGGTGGTATGGTGTGTGCAGAAACCCAACCTTCCTGTCCCTCTTGGGCTCCTTTGTGTTCACAGAGGCAGCCTCCTCTGTGAACAGCCCAAGACAATTGCGTTTCCCAGTGATTCCCAGGACGTGAGCCGGGCCTGGTGCCTGAGGAAGAACCTCAGATCCCTGCCATGCAGTGGCTGGGGCTTGTGGTCCAGTCTGACCTGCGGCCCCTCTGCTTAGCAACACCTGAGTCCAGTCAGCAAGTCCTGGGACCCTCCCTCAGGGTTGTGTACACTTCTGCAGCTTTAAAAATGGCTCTCTCATGAGAGAGAAGATCCGAGATGAGTCAGCTTCCGGTTCCTGGAGCGAGTTCTCTAAGGCGCTGCGGTCCACGGAGATGGGGAACGGTGGAAACTTGGGTAGGCTGTTTGGTGACGCCCAGGCCCTTGAAGGGGCAGCCGCTGCCTGCGGGAGGGGCAGGACCTGGCGCCCCGTCAGTAGGGGGAGAGGAAGGCCAGGGAGAAGCCCAGGAGAGCTCCGAATATCTACACTTCTGCTCCGTGGGCCTTACAGCTGGTGTGAGACCCCGCGTTCTGAGGGAGGCAGGGCTGGAAGCTGCTCTTGGCTGCCTCTCTGAGTCCTGAGTGGAAGATTAAGCCATAGCTGTGTCTTCTGTCCCTCTCAAAGCCCCTGGTGACAGCATCAGAAGTGGCAGCCACAGTGCCGACTCCACGCTGGTGCACCCCAGCACACAGCCTTCTGCCGCAGGCATGGGGTGCTGTTAGGAAAAGCGCCCAGCGTGTGGAGCAGGCCTCCGCGCAGGGACGCCTCGCTTGGTCCAACTGTTGGCAGCGAGGATGGCACCAGGTGTCAGACTGGTGGGGTCAGACTGGACTTCGGTTCAGCGGCCTCGCTTCAACGACCTCAGTACTTGAGTTCTGGCTAAGAAAGGATTCAGAGTCCAGACTCAAACTATAAGAGAAAGTCTATTTAGAAAGTCGCAGAGGTAGGAGAAGTGAGCTGTAGAAAAAGTGGGCTCAGGAAACAAGTTACAGAGGCAAAAACAAGGGCCTCTTGGAACTTAGGAGAGAAAAAGGCAAAGGTGATGCGCCCGACGGGCAGAGGAGGAGGATGGGAAAGGTATGAGCGTGTACCCCAAGGGCAGAGCATCCTGGGTCCTCCATCCTAAGTGCTTTTAAGGGTGGAGATTTTAGGGGAGGTCCTAGGGGGAGATCTCAATAGAATATCCACCAGCTTTTCAGGTGTGTCCTTTCGGGCAGGGGGTCAGGAGTCATTGCAGCTGGTCCTCAGGTCAGCTCTGGCGTCGCTTGTCTGGTTTTGCTACTTTTCTGGGCCTGGAGCTGAAGCACAACTGAGGCCTAGATGTATCTGATGCAGGTCAGAACTTCATTCTGGGGACTTAATGCTTAAGGGCTATTCTCTGACCCCCTTTTTTGGTTCCCCTGTAAGGGGGTGTAACCCGCGGCGATATGAAAAGTCAGGGGTTCTAAACCGCAGGACCACAAATATGCTCCCGGTAGAAGGGTTACCCTGGGAGCGAGGTCCTTGTTTTTTCGTTGTTGGGCACCCAGGGCTTTCTGCCCTGATGACCTTGTGTACCTGGCCCCGTCGTCCTTGCTCTGCTCACGTCTGTCTAACTGCCTCCCACAAGACCTGTGCAGGTATCTCAGGGCTGGTGAGGCAGCAGCCCCTGGCCTGGCTGCCTAAGAAAAGTGAGGCCTTTCCAGTTGCCCTCTCTCCTGCCAGAGAGGAGGCAGTGAGAGTTTTCGTGATGTCGCTGGGTGGGTGAGTGGGGCTCAGGAGACAGGGATGTGGGGCCGTTGCTCCCTGCCCTTTTCTGGGTCTTGAAAAACCTATCTTTCATTTCTGGCCACTGACAGCTCGTCTCCTCCTGGTCTGTTTCAGGCTTTTATTTTGACGTAATGGAAATCACCCCCGAAATGGTTGGCCGTCACAGGTTCAGCGCAGAAAACCGTGAGGTATGTGTGTGACTGGTATTGGAGCCACACTGACTCCCATTTCTGAGTCAGTTGCCTGTCAGATTTTGCTAGTTTCGGGGACTTCATTCATTTACTCCTCCGTTGATAAAACACACATTTTTGATGTGCCAGGGCACATGCTTGATGCTGGGGAGTCCGCAGCAGCTAAGACGCCATCCGTTCTCTCAGAGGAGTGCGGAACACTTACGGGGTCTCCCCTGAGCTAACGCGCTCAGACTGACGATCTCTGCCATCACAGCGCCCGCTTCCTTGGAGAGCTTTATCCCATTCCTAGCAAGAACTCACAGCTCTCAGGATCTTCCATTTTTCCTCTTTGAAAGGGCCTCTGGGATGGGGCGGGAGCTCTCTCATTTATTGAGCATTGTTTTCTTCCAGACACTCGCCTGGTGGTGGTGGTGGTGGTGGTGGTGGTTTTTAATTTTTTTGGATCCTCACCTGAGGACATGATTATTGATTTTAGAGAGAAGGGAAAGGAGGGAGAGAGAAAGAGAAACATCAATGTGTGGTTGCCTCTCGCGCGCCTCCTACTGGAGACCTGGCCCACAACCCAGGCATGTGCCCTGACTGGGAATCGAACCAGCCACCCTTTGGTTTGCTGGCCGGCACTCAGTCCACTGAGCCACACCAGCCAGGGCTCAGTTTTGATAAGAGGGAACACGAGGCTCAGCAAGACTTACATCACTTATTCAAGGCCACAGAGCTGAGTAGCAGAGGCAGAACATGAACCTTTGGTGGCCTGAGCTCTCTGGGGCTCTTGACTCCCCAAAGTGATACTCATGTGAGACTGTGCTCACATGTGTGTGAGTTGTGTGTTTGTGTGAGCATGTATGATAGGCAATTGGTGGTTCAGGAGCCCTGCTATACATGAGCTCCACTGGTGGCCTGAGTCATGAGCTCCGAATCTGGGTTATTGTTTATTTTCTTATTTTTTATTAAAGATTTTATTTATTTATATTTAGAGAGAGGGGCAGGGAGAGAGAAAGAGAGGGAGAGAAACATTGATGTGAGAGAGAAACATCTATTGGTTGCCTCTCACATGCCCCCAGCCAGGGACCTGGCCCACAGCCCAGGCATGTGCCCTGACTGGGAATCGAACCAGCGACCTTCTGGTTTTGAGGGATGATGCCCAACCCACTGAGCCACGGCAGCCAGGGCTGGGTTATTGTTTAAAATGGTAACAGGCACACATGCATGGACAACGAAAGTTGTTCACTCTGTGCTCATTTCCCCCCGGAGACAGGTCCCGGCATTCCCCAAGGACGTGGAGGTCCGAGCACTGATTGAAGGACAGTTCATGGCCAAGAGGATTCATGCTGAGGGCCTGGGCTATCGAGTCAGTAAGTGAGCCGCCGGCGGGCTGTGATCCGGGGTGGGCGTCCGGGGTCCCGCTCACTCCGAGGTGCTTGAGATCCTTGCGGGCCTTCAGGCCCGGCCTGGCGGGGCGCTGGCTGTGTTGGCTCCATTGCAGGGCCTCACGTAGGAGGACAAGGAGCCTGGCCCCTGGTGGCGGCTGAAAATGAGTTGACTGGCACTTGTGGGCAGGCTTCCAGTAGGAGACTGGGGGTTCCTGCTTCTCTCCTCTGTCCTCCGTAGCCTGGACTCCTGGCCAGGAGCCGTAGGACTTGGAGATAGTCCTGTAAGTTTAAGCTCCAGCCTGCAAACTGAATGTCTCAAGCTTTGGACCCTGAGGACGAGGGCAGTGCAGGTGGGAGAGGTGTGGACTGCGGCCATGACTGCACCTCGACCTCTGTGTAGCCTGACCAGGCCTCATCTGCCTGGGGCAGGGGTGGGGGGCACAGTCTGGGCATTTCAACGTGGGTAGGGAAGAGCAGGGCGGTATAGCCACTGTCCACACGGAGAGCCTGGAATGGAGTGGCAGAGCCAGGGCCGGGAAGGCCTGCAGGGAGAAAGGGGTTTCTAAGGACTCGCGGTGGGGCATGGGCCGCTCTTGGAGGTGAGTTCACGGTACTGATGGTGTTGGTGTGGTCTGGGGCTCCTGCAAGGAACCCGGGTTTCTAAGGTGTACCTGTCCCTCTGGGCAGCAACTATTTTCACCAGAGAGGGTAGAAAACTCCTGAAGCCTCTTGGCTGGATGGCCTCTTCATGGTACTTTGATGGGCGATCTAAGCTCCATGTCGTGTATGTGTTACAGTTTTGGACCCAGCAAGTAAAAGCATATTATAAAAATAAGCTTTAGGAAAACCGTTTGAAAACCTGTTAGGTAGCACCTGCTAAAGCTGCACGCACACCTCTTGGTGAATGTATGTCAGAAATAAATGCGTACACATGTTCTCCAAAGACATACAAGAGACCATTCCTCGTGGTTCTGCTTGATAGCCCCACACGGGAAACAACCCAACACCCATCTACAGCAGATGGGATAAGTGCCTTGTGAGTATTCACGCAGCGTGATACTGCACAGAAACGAAGATGAACCAGCCTCAGCCACGCGCAACAGAATCGGTGCATTTCACACAATGGAGCTCTGAGCAGAAGCCAAACACAAAGTGCATACGGCAGGATCCCACATACATCAAATTCAAAAACTGACAAAACTGTTTGCTATTGTCAGAAGTCGGGATAGTTAGCAGTGACCTTTCAGGAGGCGGGGCTCACAAGAGGGCCTCTCAGGTGCTGGCGATGTCCTGCTTCCTGGGATATGTGGGTGTCTCATCTGTGAAAATTTGTCAGGCTATCAGCTTATGATGTGTGTGTGGATTTTTCAGGATGTGCGTGTGTACAATAAAAATGCTAAAATGCAGTCGTGTGCCACAAAACGATGTTTCAGTCGACAACGGACCATATGTAGGATAGTGGCCTTCTAAGATTAAAATGGAGCTGAAAATCCCTATCACCTAGTGACGTCATAGCTGTTTTAACATTGTAGCCCAATGCCTTAGTCACATGTTTGTGGTGATGCTGGTGCAAATAGACCTACAACACTGCCAGTCATATAATAAGTACAGCACCTTTTCTATATCGAGATATGTTTAAATACACATATACTTTCTGTTGTGTTACAGTTGCTCACAGTGCTCAGTAAGGGACGTGCTGTATGGTAGGCGTGTAGCCCAGGCGTGGTAGCCGGGGTGTGCAGCAGGCCAGACCGTGCAGGTTTGTGTAGGTGCACTCTGTGATGTTCGCATAACGGAATCACCTAACAATGCAATGCCTTTCTCAGAACAAAGACCCTTGCGAAGCCACGCATGCTTTTAAGTACATGAGCATTTTTAAACATACTCATTCCTCTCCGTCCTTCCATTCAAATTGTAAAAATAAATCCCCCAAATGTCTTCAAAGTTCCCTGAGAAATGAGGTTGGGTGAGCAGGGCACAGGGATGGTCCAGAGATTGGCAACAAGGGCCTGGCATGAAGGGGTCCTTGGCTGTCAGGAGGGGGCAGTTTGGGGCGTGTGTCCCGCAAGCTCAGGGTGCAGGGAGAGGCCCTCCTGGGCTCAGGAGGGGTAAAGTGGCCGTGTCCTCATTCCCAGCCTCTAACTCGGTTCCTGTGCAAAACAGTGTAAAGTTACTTATCCTCTTAGCAAGCTTAATCAGACCCGCCTTGCCAGTTCAGCTGGGTTCCTCTCAAACAAGATTATGTAAATGAATGTGCGGAGAACCACAGAGGGCTGTACTGAGAAGAGGCATCATTTTCCCAGTTGCTGTGTAGATGGACCCACGTGGGGTTTGTCCTTATCAGCCATAATCTTGTTATAATAGTATCTAAGGAGAATTTAAGAGGCACTTTAAGTATGAGTTGATGGTCATCATCGTAATAGCTGCCAACGTTTATTAAGCATCTACTGTGTGCCCAGCCTGGTTCTAAGCACAGCAGTGCTTTGGGGTGGGTGCTGGTATTACTCTCGCTCCCCAAAGCAGGGAACTGAGTGTTAAGTCCCTTGCTGGAGGCTGGTAGAGCTTCTGGACCAAGCTTCTGGTTCTGGGCTCTGGGTTCTTAACAACTAGGCTATCTCTGCTTTATTTAAAGAACAATCGCTCTCTTAATGTTTAGACGCCATCAGACATGCACCCATCTGTGCTGGGCTAAAGCCGTGGTCCCTTTGCAGCTTATGTTTCTATGTATATTTCATTTTGTTTAGGTTGATTTGTAAAAGCCATAAAACCTTCTCTTAGCAAGTTTGGAAAATAAAGGAAACTACTTAGAATTCCATCCCCTCTTCCAACCACTTGTACCATCTGGAAGTGTCTCCAGTCTTCTTTATGAGCTTATTTTTATGTAACTATAGTCCTATTTCCTTTGTACATGCAAACCCTAGAATTTATGAAAAGCCTTCTCCTGGGGCTTTACCTCACTCCCAGTTGACTCTCTCTGCAGTCAGGCATGGAGGCGGTTTTTGATTTTCCAACACGGAATCATGCTGGAATTATCTTCCGAGTCCTAGGTTGCCTCTTCAGGGGACTGACCTGCCTTCCCCATCCCAGCCCAGACACTTCCTTCACGGCAGAGAGTGAAGATGGGGAGATCTCTGCTTTCCCGCCCTGCCCCCAGTATCCCAGCACCTCACACAGTAGCAGTCTCGGGGGCGGGGGGAGTTGGTCTGTGGGGAGGACCAGCTCTGCCTTTGGGGCTCCGCTGGATTCCAGGCTGCCACACCTGCCCAGTCGCAGTTGCTACATGCTGGGTAGGTCTCTCTCTATCCTGGCAAAGCTTATCTGCCTCTGGAGACATTATTCCATCACTGTCTGCTACCTGGGTGAGCCAGCACTTAAGGGCTAAACTCATCCCGGAATTTAATTTACTTAGACTTTTTGCATTTATAGCTTTCTGATAGCTTTAAATAAAAATATGTTTTTGTTTGTATTTTCTGAGTTTTCTGATTGTTACACGGTACAGTAATGTTCTTTCTCAACCATCTCCCTTTTAACCGCAAGTGGAACTATGTGTCTTTTGTTAGACAGACAACCTTATTAAGCTCTTACTAGTTTGCCTATTTTTATTTTTTCTATTGTCTGTAGATAATGGTATTTTTGTCTTTCTTTCAATCCTTACATGTTTTATTTGTCCTTGTTATCTTATAGCATTGTTTAGAATAGCTAGCACTATGTAACAGTGTATTGGATGGCACGTATCTTTGTTTTGTTCTCATATTAGTTTCCTATTGCTGTATAACAAATTATCCCAAAACTTAGCAGCTTAAAACAAAATGAACATTTATTATCTTACCCGGTTTCTGTGGGTTGAGAATGCGGGGTTAGCAGAGCTCGGTGGTTGTGACCGAGGACGAGGCCAGGGTGCCACCTGGGCTATAGTCCTCTGAAGGCTTGTCTGAGGCTGCAGCACCGGCTTCTGATGTGGCTGTTGGCAGGAGACCTCCGATCCTCGCCACGCAGGCCTCCTTACAACGTGCGCGTCTTCAAGACATGGCAGTTGGCTGCCCTCAGAAAGAGCGATCTGAGAGAGGGTGGTCCGCAGCAGAGCGAGAAGGAAGCCTCAGCATCCTTTATGACGTAGCCTTGGTGTCTACACTCCAGCATTTACACAGCTTCTTATGGTCGCATGAGTCAGCCCTAGGCAGTGTAAAGGGGACTGCGTGAAGGTGTGACTCTCAGGAGGCAGGGGTCATTTGGAGACATTTTTTGGATCTCACAGGCACACCTGTCTTAAAGGGAATGCTTCTTAATGTTTCTGTTAAGAATGATGTGTGTCATCCATTTTGGATATATGCCGTCATCAATTTAAGTAAGGTCCTTTCCATTCCTGTTTCATTGAGAGATTTTGTTTTTTAATAATTCAAAAAGAAATGAAGACAGTAAGACGAGCGTCCTCACCAGCAAATTATAGGTGACAAGCCTGCAGGGACGGAACTGGTTTTGGGTCACTCCCCACTCTGTCCTCTGAGAATAGCAAGAAGCACTGGGCCAACACAAGCCCTTTGTGGCTGATGGACTCTGGGAAACAGCCTTTTCTGCATTGGAAATTGTCACAGCCGTTCATTTTTTTCCTTTTTCCTTGCAGTGTCCAAGACAAAGATTTTGGCCACTGGAGGGGCATCTCACAACAGAGACATATTACAAGTAAGTGCTGGCAGGACCTCTTCCGTGCCTGCTACCTCGAAGAGCCAGACGCCCAGCAGTAGGACTGCCTCAGCTCCCACTCCTTCCCTCCCAGGAGGCGAGCTCTGTTGCCTAACGGCTCACATTGTGAGCAGCTTGTCTTAGACTCAGGTGGAATCCACTGCCCCTAGAACTCCGCTCTCTGATATCAGGGCTGCCCTCTGTAGTCACACAGAAAGTGTCTGTACCACATGTCAAACCTGACATCGTGGGCCAGCGTTCTTGCCTTCTGGAAAGTTTCTCCCTTCCAATATAAAGAGCTCTGATTTCCCCTGGCTCTTCCTCTTACAATACAGTTGCCAGACTCTGTCATCGTCTTTCTTCTCCTCCATTATGACCAAAATTGGAATTAACCTGCTGACGTCTGACCATCGGGCTCTTACATCTTGGGGCTATCAGGGTCGTGTCGGGACACTGAGTATTATTTGGATGTAGCCTGAGGCTGCCTTAGCTATTTGAATAACTGCATCAACTCTTGATTTGTAATACACCTGTCTTAGGGAAGGTTCTCTGGAAGCAGAGTCCAAAATGGGCATTCTCTGTAAGTGATGCGCTGAGAGAGTTCTCCAAGGAGGAAGGGAGTGAGGGATGCAGCAGAGCAGGGGAAGAAGGGTACAAGCCCTTTGTGGCGGATGGACTCTGGGAAACAGCTCCTCTTAGTACATGTCCTCCATTCTAAATATGTGCAATTTATTTTGGGGGCCTAAATGGAAAACTTTATCTTTATCCTAAAACATGCCCTTGTTGGTTGGGTTTGGGCTTGTTAATATTAGTCTGCTACCCAGCCGCCTCCACCTTGACCGTTTGCTAAGCGTCCTTCCTAATCTTCCTCCTTGTCATTGATAAATGGCTGAACAATGAGGGGACAACCTGGAGAGCTGTAGCCTCCACTAGAGACTTCCCACCATCATCCAGGCCCTCTTGTCACCAGGGCGCATGGCCAAGTATTCTCCCTTTAAGGCAGTAGAGGCGGCCTGGGAGGCGTCAGAAGCCAGTTGAGGAAAGAGCCTGGATAGCGTCTGCCATAATGCCGTGTTCCCTGTGAGGAACGACTCGCCACAGTCAGGACCTCTGTCCTTCCCAGGTGCTCGCAGATGTGTTTGGCGCCCCAGTATATGTCATCGATACCGCCAACTCGGCCTGCGTGGGCTCTGCTTACCGGGCCTTCCATGGTAGGTCGATGGGTTGGGGGAAAGATGCCTCTGGAAGAGGTTGGGGGGCTGGCTGGGCTGAGTAGGGGGGAAAGGGGAGATTGGAAGGTACCCAGTCTTTAGGGACATTGGAGTCTTGTGGACTGTAGCTTCCTTTTTCTCCCAGTAGATGAGAATCAACCCCAATTTTCTGTTCCTTTATTCTCTACTGAATGTGGGGGAAGAGAGGCAGAGTCCTAGCTGAGCGAGGCCTGGTCAGAGTCAGGCTCAGCATGGAGACGTTGGGAAAGGATGTAGGGCATGCTGAGGGCACGCGGGCTTGGGTGTGGACAGCTGGTGGGCGAAGTCCGGGGCCATCTTTTCCGCAAGAGCAGGGAGTTGAGACAACGATGAAGACTTCCGAGCCAAGCACTTCAGGACCCTGGACAGCGCCCCGGGCCCCTTGGCTCTGACGGAGGCCTCCCTGAAACTCCCGCAATCTCGGGGACTAGGGAAGTTCTGGCAGGAGCAGCACGTGCCCGCAAGGATATTCTTCCTTCCTTTGGCCAATTTCCTCTGCCCTCAGCCTGCTCAGGGTGCTCCTCTGGTTGCCCATGTACCTGAGGGGCTTGTTTTTTCCCTCTAGAGGTTCCGTCCTTCACACACTGGCTCTTGACTTTTTAATGTGCTTTTTAAAGCTTATATTTTCTAACAACATTGAGAACTGACTCAGTTCTCTTAATAATTTACCTGTTTTTTATTCCCCTCAATCCATACCCTCCCCACCTCACACGACTTCCTGTATCATATTGGGCAATTTATGTTCAGGTTCTCATGTTTTTAATTAAAATTACATCATATTTGATTTTATTTGCACTTACCTATGAATTTTTATTTTTTTAAGATTATATTTATTTTTTAGAGAGTAAGGGTGGAAGGAAGAGAGGGAAACATCAATGTGTGGCTGCCTCTCAAGCGCCCCCTCCTGGGGACGTGCCCCACAACCCAGGCATGTGCCCTGACTGGGAATTGAACTGGTGACCCTTTGGTTCGCAGGCCAGAGCTCAATCCACTAAGCCACACCAGCCAGGGCTCTTCTTTTTTTTTTTAAATTCACTGAAGTTTCTTTCTCCTTTGTATCTAAGCTAGTTTTGTTGCAATCTACAACCTAAATAAGTTTTTAAGAGGGAATTCAGTAAGTGATCATTTTCCGAGGCCTCACATGCCCAGCAAGGGCTTTGCTTTGTCCTCCCAAAGAACAAGACGACCGTCACTGGGCAGAGGACTCTTAAGTTCAAAATACTTTTCTTCAGAACATTGAAAACACTTCCAAAATCTTCCAGCCTTCGGTGTTGTGCCCATGAATAGACAAAGCAGAAAAAGAGCTCCCCTTTAGGGAGGGACTCCACTGCTAGGATGCATCACGTTTCTTTTATATTTTTCCTTTTCTGCACCTGTTTAGCTGCCAAAGGTTATGTGCGGTGCTGCCCGACTCTGGCCCCCAAAACCAAAGTGTGAGCTAAGTCCTAGCACGCCAATTCCCACCCCAAGGCATCTCAGCCACTTTGTTTAGAGATCTGTTCTCCCCAGCGGAGTCCAGGGATAGATTTCATGTGCAGCGCATCTGCACATGGGTGGAAGGGGACTCAGGTCTTCTGAGTAGTCTCACCGCTGGCCACCCCACTCATCCTATTCACTCATCCACACAGCTCTGAGCTGGGATACACCAGCACTCTGATGAAAAAAAAAACTGGGCCTTGCCCTGGCTGGTGTGGCACAGTGGGTTGGCCATCATCCTGCAGACCAAAGGCTCGCTGGTTCGATTCCCAGGCAGGACACATGCCTGGGTTGCAGGCCAGGTCCCTGCTTGGGGCGTGTGGGAGGTAGCCGTTTGATGTTTCTCTCACACATCAATGTTTCACTCCCTCTCTTTCTCCCTCCCTTCCCCCTCTCTCTGAACATAAATAAATTAAATCTTTAAAAAACAAAACCAAACCGGGCCTCACCTCTTCAGCGGGTGCTCCTTCGCTCCCGGTGGCGTTGTGTTTCCCTGTCAGTCCAATCCTGCTCCTTAAATGGCCCAGAAGTTCTTCACCATTTCTCACCCACCTGCGGTAACCTTCCCGCTTTTCCAGCCCTGCCACTCGTTTGGTTGGTGAGTGTTTGCTGAGTGACTCCTGGATGCAGGTAGTGTGTACAGTACCAGGGCTCTAGTGGAGACCCGGTTCCTGGCCTTGCTGAGCCAGATAGGGACCTTCAACAAGCTGGGAGCCAGAAACCGTGAGGAGTGCTCTGAGGAAAGCAGACAGTGCAGTGAGTGATGGGGAGATGGAGAGGCAAGGAATATGAGGGAGGAGAGGCAGGCTGCTTTGCTCTTCTGCTGCCAGATGCCAGGCCTCAGCCTCCAATTCTGTGACAGGTGCAATCAGTGAGCAAGGCAAACGTGGCCCTGCTGAAGAGGCCTGCACTTGAAATTTTTCTCTTTTTTCCCCTCTTTTTAAAATGGTTTTATTGAGGCATGATTATATGACATAAGAATCACCCAATTTTAAGCGTACAATTCAGCGATTTTTCGTGAATTTACTGAGTGGTGCAACCATCACTAAAATCCAGTTTTAGAACATTTTTTCCTCCCAGAGATAAAACGCTGTTTCTGGTTTACGTTCTTAATTTGCAACATACCCTGATGCGAAATGAGCTTTCCCTCCTAGGCCTTGCAGCTGGGACGGATGTGCCCTTTTCAGAGGTTGTGAAGTTGGCCCCAAACCCCAGGTTGGCGGCTACGCCAAGCCCAGGAGCTTCTCAGGTGAGAGACCGTCAGAGTTTGCTAATTGCACTTGTGCTCTGAGAACCAACCGGGTTCTTTTTTTCCCAAGAGGTAAGTTTTTCTTTGTCCCCTGAATTAAAGTTGATGTGCTCTCTGAAAGAGAAATCCTACTTCTTCTTATTATTTTTTTAATTGTCAAGGAACCAGAGCAAAAGAAGCCAGGTTGTCAACTGAGATTCACAGAAACTGCTGATAGTACAGCCCCAGGGGTTACAGAGGACGCTGGGCACGTGTTCATTGCTCCACATGCCCCAGGGCAGGCCCTTCCATTTCACTAGTTCCAGCAGCCACGGAAGGACTGTCACTTACGCACAAGGCATGCTGGGTTTCTAGCACTGAGATCCGAAGTCTGGCTCCAACACAGCAGTGCAGTCCCTTAGGCCAGGAAATCCCTGGGAGACAGCCCTCACTGCCGTAGATTTGGTTCCCTGGAAGCAGACTCGGAGTCGTTGGTTATGGAGGTGGGAGGTTTACGAGGGTGCGCTCTTGGGATGTAGTCTGCGGGCTGGGCGGGAGGAGGAGGTGAGCTGCAGGGCAGTCTCTGTGGCGCCCTTAGCCATCCCTACAGGGACTTTGGAAGCTGGGATCCCCCTTTCGAGTTCTACCCAGCTGGGGTGCGGGGCCAGGACTTCATACCCCATGTCATTCGGTCCTGCATGCAGGCCGCAGGCCACCCCAGGGTGGGGCAAGGCAGCTCTCCAGAGCTGAAGCCATCCCCAAAGGGGGCTGAAGGCTGAGGGCTGGAAGCGGAAGTTCTCCGTTCCCGAAGGGCAGTCTGGGTGGCATGCACAGCATCCACCGCACCCCTGTTCCATTTGCAGAAGGTTTTCGCAGCCCAGGAGCAGGGGCGGTGCAGACAGAGGGCCTTGCTATTCACCGTGGTCCAGCAGGCAGCGTGAGCTTCACGCTCGCCTCAGTTGTCCTTGGCCCTGGAACGCCCTGGGGTGTTGCGGAGTGGGCCCAGGTGGCCACTGTGCACACACTATGTCTGTGACACAACTGAGGGAGCCCGAGCTTAGAAACCGCCAACTTTATAAAGGAGCAGCAAGCAAAGCTGTCCAACATTGGCCCCAGTCAGTGAAAAAAAGTGTACCTTCTGCCCCCAGAGGGCGGCAGTATGTCCGTCTTCCAAGGTTGCCACACGAACACCCTTGGAAAGATAGGCAGGAACAAAAGCTGTCTGTCACCAGACATATAGGAATACCATGGAGAATTGTTCCCAGCGTATCTTGGAAGCTGAAGCTCATGCTTTCCTGGTGACAGGGAAACCCACACACATAGATGTACCCAAGGTGTTATTATTTACTCCTGTGTGTCCTTATGTTTAAGTCACCGCTCAATGCAGTAGAAAGATCCTACGTTGGGATAAAGGGCCTTTGAGTTCTGAACTTATTCTGCCTCTCCCTCACCATCTGGCCTTCATGTGACCTTGAGCAGCGCTTCTCATCTCTGAACCTCTGTGTCTTCACCTGTGAATTGGGGACCACATCTCTCCTGGCTACTTTTAACCTGCCAGTTGTGAGGCTCAAAGAGCATCCCTGACGAGAGTAGCTTTATTATGTAACAGGAGGTCTGAAGGTCAGCCAGTGTTGGTTCAGTGGTCCGACCGTGGCAGGGCTCCAAGTCATGCTCCCTGAAGTTCTCCAGGTCAGCAATGGACAGTGGGAACCTCCTGGGAGCCACATAGGTCATTTCAAATTTTCTAGTAGTCTCATTTTCTTAAAAAAGTAAAAAGAAATAAATGACTACTTTTAATAATATTTTGTTTAATCCAGTATATCGAAAATATTGTCATTTCAACATGTCATCATTAAGAAAAAGTGCTAATGTGATATTTTGCTTCCTTTTTGTCTGGAGCTTTGGAAATCTGGTGTGTACTTGGAACACCGGTTACATTTCAAGTGCTCAAAGGCACATATGGCTGAGGCTGCTGTGTCGGATCCCACAGCCCTAGACGTGTGTCAGATGGTCGCAGGGTGTCTGCAGCTGCTCCAAACATCGCGTCCCCCCACAACTGCATTCACGGGGCAGAGAGTCTCTCCTCACACATTTCCTAAGACATACTGGTCTGTCCCCAGCAGACTCCCACTGGGTCATGTGTTCAGCTTGGTTGTAAAAAAGGCTGGGGCAGGTCTGCTTCTTTCATCCTCTCCAGAAGGAGGCTTGCAAGGAGGCGGGTGGCTGGGGAAGCAAGCAGCCACACCTGCCTCCTCACAGATAGCACATCCTCAGTACAGGTACCGCCACTCTCCCTGGCCTGCCATGGCCAGTCGCTAATAGCTTGCGGGACCCTTTACCATTAAACCCAAGTGTAACCTCAGAATCCTCAGCACCAGGTTGCAAGCAAGGACAAGCCTATGATTGCTGGCATGAGTGGCCTGTTTGAAGAATGGATTGTAAATTACTTGAGAGCAGGGCGAAGTCCTGTGTTCTCTCTGTGGGGCTTCCAGCGGTGCTGTGCTCAAGTGGAAATTGGAAACAGTAGCAGTGCCTTGTCTCTGGGCTCAGCCAAATGTTGCAATTTCTTCCTTGGAGAGAAAATGGAGGCCCCCTTCCCTTCTCCAAGTTCATAGACAGAGCTGCTCTAACTGCTACAAGCGGAGGTCCTTATTGCATAATCAGTTACTAAAGTACTTGACTTTGGAGCTAATTAAGCCATACGAAGGAATGGGATTGGCCTGAACTCGTGGTGTTTGTGAGTCCCAAGGAAATCTGGGTCCTTTGGTCCTAAGTGTTGTTTGTCTTTAACACAACGTGTGCTCACCTGAAGTGCACCTATGTTTCTCAGGCTTTTAGTGCCACAAGAAAAAAAAGAGTTTTTTTTTTTTTTTTTTTTTTTTTTAAATGAAGGGTAAGAATATGGGGTTGTATTTCTCTGTGGTCCTTTTCCCCTTGTTGGTTTTTTGGTTTGAGTTTATTATACAGCATACTGTGTATATAATTTTGTAGCCCACTTTAAAAATTCTACCTGACTCCGTAAGTATTCACAGTCTTAAAAATGCACATACACATTATTTTTAATGACTGCATGTTATCCTGTCTGGCTAATGAACCATACGTTACTTGAGCATGTTCTGGGTCTTAGAGAGAAGTCGCTTCTAATTTTTCAATTATTATAATCAACTCTGTGTGGGTAAAGGGTTAACAAAACCTTTTCCTAGTCTTTTCTCTTTGTGGCTCTGTTTCCTTTGCCTGGACTCAATAAAATGGAATGTCAACAGTGTTCCTAGGCAACACTGCTTATGTAAAAATGGCCTTTAATTGGGAAGCTGCATCTGGAGTGGGAAGACCATAAATACCTGTTGGGAAGTCACACTCGGGGCTTCCCCGAGGGCAGTGAGTGCAGTGACTTCTCCCGGGCAAGTCTCTTGCCCAGGGAGTTGTCAGAAGAGGCACCCTGTGGGACAGGAGGCCTCAAAGCCAGGGTGGTTCTTGCACCTGTTCCATGTACTTTTTGTCTCCTCGCACCTGGGCTGTGACCTAGGGGGGCAAGGAAGGGAGAAGGCAGGGAGGCAAAGAGACCCTATTCTGAACACCTATATGGCCTCCTGTTGAAGACACCAACAGGTACGTGTCTCCAGTGTATCCTCTTGAGAGCCAAGGTGTGACCCATGATAGCCTCTTGAGTCTGAATGTTTTGGAGTGTCTAAGAAGACTCTTTGGTGGGCCTAGCACCCTACATTTAGGATTATTTCCTTAGGAGAGCTTTGCAGAAGTAGAATCACTAGGTCAAAGGCTATAGGCATTTTCAAGCTCAAGTTGATTCCCAAAAGAGTTGCACCAGCAACTTCCACCAGCTGTGCAATGAGACATCCTTGTCCAGGTCTCTTCCCCAGATTTTTTTTTTTTTTAATTTGATCAACTTGATAACAAAAATTGGCTTCTTGTCATAATTTGCGTTTAAAATAACCTTCAACTCTAGATTTGAGAACTAGTAACATTTCCCTTTTTATGAGTTGACTGACACTTCCTTTCTTTTGCCCAGCAAAAAAGTTTAATTGCACGTGAATGGGATGTAAAGATGTTCAATGGCAAGTTGCAGGGAGATGGAAGCAGCACCGCCCTCCCTGTTCTAAACGGCTCTCTCTGCCCTTGCAGGTCTATGCTGCCCTCCTCCCGAGGTATGCCCAGCTCGAGCAGAGGATCCTGTCCCAGAAGGCCCTGGGGCTTCTGGCGTGAGCTCTGCAGGCCCAGGAGGCCCGCTGACCCTGCCCGCCCAGACTCGCAGTCCCACGTGGAGACGTGGCCGTGGACAGTGGGAGCCCCCTGCCCTGTTCTGGGAGCCCGCCGCTTGATGCCGGGGTCCTCCAGCCTGTCCTGGGTCCCCTGGAAGCCTGCCTTAGCACAGCTCCCTGACCACAGATGGGCTGCTTGTGTCCCTGTGTCCTTGCACTCAGGGCAGGAAAGCATTTCTTCTCCTGTGTTTATTTCAGGAGGCAGGATAACAGGAATCCTGCGATATCTCCACTAAAAATCGTGCCTTTTTTTCTTTTCAAAGACAGAAGGGGAGCTAATCCAGGAACCTGAATCAACAGAATGAGGGCAATAAAGCCGTCCCACATACCCTGACCCCAGCCCACTGCCCCCTCCAGTCCTGTCTCTCTGGCCACTCTCCCCCTAGACCCTACCCCACAGCCACGCAGCCGCACACCCTGACCTTCTGTCCACCCTCCTCCTCAGCCCTGACCGCCCGGCCAAGCCTCTCCTGCACCCTAACCCTCCCTGCTCACCTCACCTGTCTGAAGCGACTCCCAGTTTGCTGTGCTGCCTTCGCGATGCTTCGCCCTCCTCCAGGCTCTGACCCTCCCTTTGGCATCTGCTCCTTCTGCCTCCTTGCTCTCTCCTCCCTCCCCTGCCCACCTGGTGTCACTCACCACCTCCCCCACCCCCCAGACGCCCGAGGGGCCGATGAATGTGCTTCAGCGCTGCCCACAGGCTGTGGGACTCCCAGGCACAACAGAGCACTTGGAGGCCCAGGTGGCACAATTTATTCTCATTCTCATCCATATTCATTCTCTGCGTCACCCCCGCCCCCACCCTCCGCCCCAGCCCTTGCAGTTCTCTTGCTGAAAAAAAACAAAACAAAACTGGATCATTAAGAGAATTTCCCAAACTCTGGATTTTGTTGATTCTGTTCCTGCAGTGTCATTTAACATGTTCTCTATTGTCTATATTTCCTGTAAAGTGGCAGTTGGATCTAATACAGGGTTTCCCAGCTTCAGCACTACTGACGTCTGGGGCTGGATAATTCCTCATTGTGGAGGGCTGCCCCGCCTCTTGTAGGATGTTTAGCAGTATCACTGGCCTCTACCCACCAAACGCCATTATCAGCCCCTCCCCTGACAATCAAAAATGCCTCCAGGCATGGCTGATGTCCCCTGGTTGATAACCACTGACCTAGAGGCTGGACGAGAGGCATGTGTGATTATTTTCTTTTTTATGTAAGACAACTTCATGGCTGGCGTTGTGTTCTTCCATCAGGAGGCACGTGATGTCTGATTTTCTCTCCTTTCTATGATGTTTTTGCCTAGCTCCATTAGTTCAGGGATACAGTTTCGTTATCTCTCTTCGTTTATTAGTTGGGATTCTTCTCTATATCAAACAGCCCTGATCCAATTATCCATGGTATTGTTTACACAGGAGAGGCAGAATAAACAGATTCTTTCCTCCACCAGATTTCAAAATAATCAGTTGATTCCCAGGCATCTCTAACAGCAAGTAGGTTTTTACTTTTAGTATCAGTATGACACTTCTTTTTGATAGCCGCTCTCTCTAACTTTTCTCCTGCTCTCCTAATCTCCCATTCATTCTTTCCTCACAGAGTTATTGCTGGGCCCCAAATCTCTGTTCTCATCCACCTTTCCCTCCCATTCTTTCCTATCTTGTTGGATGACTTCATCTATTCTTGGGCTTCAGCTGTTCAATACTTACATACCGGTAACACCGAGATCTCTGTTTCCAGCCAGAACGCCCCTTGGAGTCTACCAGTAGTCTCTTCAGACTCCACTTATTTTCCCTTACTCTTCCCCAAACCACCTCCTCCAGAGTTCTTGTTGCAGTGAATTGGCAATGCCATTCATCCATTCATTCAAGAACCCAAACCTAAAACTCAGATATCCCCCCTCTTTCCACATCTGGTCACCAAGTGATAATGGTCATTCCTTTGGGAATCTCTTTGGTAACTCTTAAAGCAGTTCCTTTGTCTCCATTCTTCCTGTTTACTTTAGGCCCCTTTATTCCTTGCTCAGATTATTGCAAAAGCCTCCACAGAAAGTCCTCTGTGACCTGCCTCCTGCAAGATTCTCTAGATTTATCTTCTGCCACGGGTCTCAGTTGGGACTTCAGTTAAATCAGATGGCTTATGGTCTCACTCATAGTGGAAAATAGTGCAGACAGGTCTGCACTATGAGACCTGATGGATCAGCAGTGGCTGGTGGGAAGTCAAAAGGAAGGGGCTGAGAAAATGAGTGGGACCAGAGGCATCATGTCTAGGAGAGACGAAGTCACCGTGAAATGGACTGGTGCACCTTGCGGGCTTGGTGCATGATGGGGGAAAAAGGAAGCAAGAAGCTGAAGATGAAGTGTATTGTCAACCAACAGACTCTCTTTGACCAAGACATGTAGTAAAAACATGCACTAAATGTAGCACCGTACATGCATCAGACAACTCTTAATTCCCCATCTTACCTCTGTCCCCATAGAATTGCCTGTTACTGTAAGTAGGTAAACATAAATAGAAGAAGGAACTCATCATTTATCTAAATGTAGGAAGAAAACAGAAACTTAAGCTTTCAAAGTGATGAAATACCCCACAGTAAAAAGGAACAGACAGTAAGTATGTGGAAACAATCCTGAAACATGAAATTTAAAATAAAATTTAAAAAGCAATTGTGGATCTGAAAAACGATCACAGAGCAGGAATTTGAAAACTCAGAAGAAAAATAAAAAGTGATGGGCATATGGGAAAAGAGAATTGACCAACCTTGGGAAAGAGTCACCAAAAAGATAAAATCACGGTTTTGAAGAGTGAATTACAACATAATTCGAGTGAAAATAAAAAAATAACCACAAGTACAGTAAAGCATATAGAGGAAAAGAATGAAAAAAAATACTCAGGAAAAATAATATAAAGGAAGAGCTAAAGGAGCCCAGAAAGAAAATGGTAGATAAAAAGACAGGCGAAGAAAGACTAACACGGGTAAAGTTGGAATCCTGAAGCCAAAAGATAAGATAATGGAACAGAGTTAATATTTAAAACTGTATCCCAAGACAAATTTCTGAAAACAAAAGAAGACCTGAATCTATATCTTGCGAGGGCCTAACATGTTACTTGGAAAATTGTCCCAGAATGACCAACTAAGAAATATCTTAGCTGGCTATAAAGATGAGGGGGAAAATCTCTCTAGGAGAAAAGACCTAGTATTTTACAAGGAAAGATCAGGTTGGCGTCAGACTCCTCAAAAAGTCAATTGCAATGGAACAACATTTTCAGAAAACTCAGATAAAAAAAATATGAACGAGGGGTTTAGTTTAGTATTCATCTAAGCCAACCAAGCATCAAGGATAATTTTTTTAAAAGTTTTAATTGTACAAGAGCTCAGGAAATAACCCCTTAGGATTCTACTAAAAGACAAGGTTCTTCCAACTAGGAGATGATTGGGGGAACTGAAGCCAAAGGACTGGGAGTGAACATTGAGTATCTTTAATTTTGGATCTAAAACCAGAACAAAAGTGGGAATATGGGTGGAAGAAGAATATTGAATGGTATATGCTTTGACAAGAAGTAAGACAACAGCATGAAAAAGAAGGGAGAGAAGAAGACAGGGCAAAACTCTTTATTGCACAGGCAATATGTGTGAGTCAGTATCATTTAAAGTTGACAGACCAAATAGTTGAGGCTTCAATAAGGAAAAAGGGAGACAAAAGCATTATATAAAGGTGGTAGCATAGTATAAAGGTAATTATGATAAAAATAGACATCTCCCTCAATGCCTAAACAAACAATAATAAAGGCAATAGATCATAGAGTAAAAACATGCACTAAATGTAGCACCATACATACATCAGACAACAAGGATAAGCACATGAGTCAAATTAGTAAGAGGAAGGACTGAGAAAAGTTCAGATGGCCTCACAAACCAGTATCTTATTGTCTGCATATTTACAAGAGACACCTAAAATAAGTGATCTGGAAAGGCAACAATATACCAGGCAGATACAAATTGTAAAAAAGATTACAACAATATTGATGACTGACAAAGTAAAATTCAGGAAAAAAATTGACATGACAAAAGACATTATCATGTATTTTTAAACGTTTTTTTTAAGGTTTTATTTATTTTTAGAGAGAGGGGAAGGGAGGGAGAAAGGGAGAGGAACATCAATCATTTGCCTCCTGCATAGCCCCAACTGGGGACCTGGCCTGCAACACAGGCACGTACCCAGATCGGGAATCAAACTGGTGACCTCTCTTGCTTTGCAGGATGACACACAACCCATGCCAGTTAGAGCGACACTATAATGTTAAAAACCACAATATACAATGAAGGTACACTAGCTATGAATGCTATCGCCTCAACCATTTGGTTTGTCAAAACCCCCTATCCAGTTATCCAGTAGTATTGTTTACACAGGAGAGGCGGATAAAGTTGACCCCCATGTGGTTTCTGTAATTCCATAGTTGTAGGACTTGCATTCAGCTCAGTTTCTGATGGTTCTGCATGATAGCTGTTCTATAGTTGTAATTTTCATGTGATTGTGCAAGAAGGTGAGCCGTGTTTACCTATGCCACCCTCTTGACCAGAAGTTCCTGGTTATTTTTATGAAGCAAATTCAACACTGATCTCTATACTAGGTTGCAAAATGCCCCAATTCTTCACTTATCTCTATATCCGTGTATTTTGCCATGGAATTTTTTTGTGCCTTCCCCCTCTGACTTGGCTCAGCTCTGTGAGTTTGACCAATGGGATTTTCACAAATATGTAAGCTGGGGCTTGAAAAGCCCTTATGCAATTGGGATTGCTCTCACTTTGCTTGCTGCCTTTTTCATGAAAATACTGTGCGTATTTTCCAAATCCATCCTGGATCAACCATGGGATGACTGACTGCCCAAGACCATGTGTGAGTCCAGATGTGACCAGAAGAACTGCCCAGCCAAACCCAATGTAAATCACCAGCCTGCATGGCTTTGGCCTGGTAGCTCAGTTGGTTAGAATATCATTCCGATACAATCGCTGGTCAGGGCACATAAAGAATCAACCAATGAATGCATAAGTGAGTGGAACAACAATGTTTGTCTCTCTAAAAACTGATAAAAAAAATAAATCACCAGCCTACAGATTCATAAGCTAAATAACCATTATTTTATAACATAGAGATTTAAAGTGATTTATTACATGGCAATAGATAACATATAGGAATTGGTGCCAAGAAGAGAAAAACTAATATATGTGATATTGGAACTGGGTTGTGGGTGGAGACAAGAAAATTGGTGAGAGAATTATTATATGTGGCTGGAAAATGCAAGGAAACTGAGTACCTGTGGTAACTTGGAAAATAGAAAGACCTACTGAATATCTGGGCTCAAGAAAGAAATTTCTAGGCAGATTGTTGAAAATGTCAGCTGATTATTACTCAGAAAAGAACTAGCCAGATTTCAAGTAGAGTTTAGAGGAACTATAAAGAAGTTAGGGTAAAAGAAAAGCTCATCTTCATCCCTTTAAGCCAACAAAAGATGATCAAATATAAGATATGGCTTAAAAAAAATCAAAGCTTGAAAGATACTTTGCTAAGACTTCTGAAAGAATCAAGGTACTAATAGAACCTTTCCAGCTGATTAAAACAACTTTCAAGAATCATAAGGTATTTTCCGCACATCATCCTTTTTATACCTAAAGTATGAGGGATTAGGGTGAGAGAGAAATCTCAAAAATAATTATGGTGCATAGAGTGCATTCAAATCAGACACAAAACCCACATGACATTTTAGGGAGCTATACTAATAAACGTGACCTCAATCCAGTTTAAAAAAGGGCTATATGTAAAAAGGCTCTGAGCCCCCAACTTTCTATGGGCGGGAAGCAGGCTGAGGATGTGGCTCAAAAGGCATACTTTGCAGTGCCCTCGTTAGCAGTGGTCACGGCGGGCAGCGCAAAGTGAAAAGGTGGAGCACGTGAAGCCGAGAGCCCTGGAGCACCGTGGGCTGGGATGCCACTCTCAGTGTGGCAGACAAATTCCAATGTGGCCTGTGAGGATCCCTGCCTCCTGGTAGTCATATCTTTGTGTAATTCCCTCTTGAGTGTGAGCAGTACGTGTAACTTCCTTGTAATAAATAGAATATGGCAAAGATGATGGTATTGCACTTCTTTAACTATATTACATAAGATCATAACTTCCACCTTGCAAAGCAGACAAGAGC